TAATGATGAGCTACAGTTGTACATGTATACTGACATAAGATTGGTCAACGTACTCTTAGGAACCACAGTCAAGAACTTAACGATCGTTGTAGGCTACGGAAAAAGACAATCAACGATGAAGAGTACTGGCTAAACATCGAAAAAAAAMAACGTATGTAATATACATACAATCACAGGAACACTATCAAACACGCAGCCATAGTCTTGACTAGCACAGAACAAAAAGCGCCTTAGTCGCACAAATTTGAAAAAAGTGGTAAAACAAATAAGGTAAACGTTGTTCTGAACAATTGTTGTCGTCGTCGTCGTCGTTAGTATTGTTTAAGTGCCAAACATGCAAAACAAAAAAACAAAACAAAACAAAACAGCAACAACAACAACAACAACAACATCAACAAAAACGAACCACGCGCCAACAAACTAGAAAAAAAAGATCGAAAATGGGAAGCATTTACGATAACTTACCTTAAATCTGTTTTCGAGTGTTGTATGTGTAAAATCAGCAACTAGTTCCCAGGGTTTTTCAGTAAATGGTTCAAGAAGTAAAAGTATATGGTAGATAAGCAACTCGTCATTCATTTGGTCAGGTCTGAAAGGTAAATATCACGCTATAATTTAGAATATTGTGCAGACATACGGTGGGTATGTATTTACGATAATATGAATATGCYAGATGAAGTAATAAAGATCGATTTTTTTCACTTCGCCTCGTGAATGAACAATAATTTTCACGATTCGATGACGCCAACCGTGGCAAATAAGAGGACATACCACGATAAATTTGTTAAATACACAATGATAAATAGTGGTGAGAATTGCGCAAATAATAATACAGAATAATAAATTTCAAGAACCGAAGAATGTAGAAAGATGAAGACAGACGAATAATAGAAGGTGAGAAAGGATGGATGGAAACAAAGACGAAAGGGCTAGACAGACGAGCAAAGAGAAATGGAAGGACTGAGAGACGTACAGATGGACTGACCTGAATCGCCTTGCAATAAAACAGAACACTTGGTTGCCTGCTTTCGATTTGCCAGCCTTAAAACACATTAAAAACGTTTATTCGGTGCATTGGAGTTCATTAGAATAGCTCTTAGAAATCAGGCATTATAGATCATACGTACTGGACGAGGTAGAACAGCGAGAGATATATAATATATACATACAAAGAGCTTCACGAAGAAGAATACCAGTACCTGATAAAAGACATTTTGTGATCTGATACTATGCAAGTCATCTTGGCTATTTTCTGCGTGCCTTGCCATGAACTCTTCAAACCTTGATCCAGCAGGCCACCTAAAGACAGGRCAAGTTAACACTGAACTGCTTTTCAGATGCGATGTAAGCCAWACKTTTTGCCGATAGTACACAACCAAGCACGCACMCTCAATTGCGTGAATTTGCGCCAACCGCCCTTCTGTCGTGCTCCCAAAATTTGCGCATTTACATATCAGTGTCTCTCTGTCGATTAARCTGAATCTCACTTTAGACAGACGCTACACAGGAAAGAGCGTGWGCAAAAGATATGGARCAGGTAACCAGACAAATAAACGCATAYGCKGCTCTTCTGTTGCTAATAAAYTRTAAACATACTTGCGATCAAACACCAAGTTCTGYTGCTCAGGAGGCCCAACTTGAGCAAGTAATGTTGACATCTTCTCGAARGGTCTTCTTCCAAAMGTTTTRTACTCTCTAACAAATAATTTACATGTTTTAAAATTGTCYGAGAAAATTTGAAAGCAACGTGAAGCTTTAAACTAAGCAGRATGAAGCAGACAACATAAGACATGACGTAAAGCACTGACAGCAACATATGCGCAAGCATAAGTCACATGAGCCACGTTTTATTTGTTTCMCGGTTACCATAGTGACAACWAAGCCTAATCAACGTATACCTCCTCGCAGACAGGTGTGTGCCAATCTTCTCTTGATTATCCCATAATAATCTATGTAAGCTGAGTACACTGTTATCACTAAGAAATGAATACGTGCTGGTCTCATCACTTGCTTTGGTGGGAATCTCAGCAGATATTTTTTCGAAGAATCTAAGACAATAAACCATAGAATAAGTGTAACACTGCAATCAAATATATAATAAAAAATCCTAGAACAAAATTTAAAGGCGATGCGAAGGTTGTGATTTAAACAGACGATATTTTTGTTCAACATGATGGGGGACGATGGCACTTGCAATATTTAATATCAATTGGTAAAACGAAACGACAACAACAACAACTTGTGCAAGGACTACAGAAGACGGAGTTACATCCAGCGTTTACCCCTCATTTTATAAATGAGAATAAACCGGATGTCACACAGGCTAGGACTACATCTTCCATCATTTATAAATTATACAAAATGCCGTCGCTGCACATTGCCAGTTGTCACTGTCTACTGCAATCAAAAGAATACTCAAATTTTGAAGGACTATTATGGAACTTTATGGTATCAGTGTTTCCATCAACACAACGGGTTTGTCTTTTTCCAGCAGAAAACTCGGAAACAACAACATCGTAGGGAACAACAACGAGAGAGAGAGACAATTCTAGTAGTTCTAGTAGGAAAGTTTGTCTTCCAATCACCGATTACTTGTGATCACGAAATATTCAATAACAAATAGTGTAATTACCGTTTTGTTTTCTCAAAGTTGGCTTCTAGAAAACCATTAAATGGTTCCATAAACTTTTCCTTCATGTACAGAACAAAGTTTCCTAGATTCTGTAAAATCTAACAAAAGAAAAGTATGAGAACAAAAACAAAAGAAGAAGCAGAAAGGAAAGGAAAATGAAAGAATGAGAATTGAATRAATTTTAACAGTAACTAAAAATGGAGATAGGAATACCTTTGATAACATCATCAGACCTCTTCGCAATCTATCATTTGGTGGYTCGTCTGTTAATCCAAATAAGTGCGGAGAGACTAGAAAGAACAATAAAATAACGTCGCGTTTAACACTTGGGCGATGGATAATCTGCCGAGTACAAAGGAAGCCCAAGAAGAAAGATGAAATGATCTGTAGAGTAGCCCACGGATAATTACTGGTTTTCTCTTATGTTGCTTAGTCACTGACATCGTGCCATCGTTGCTATTGTGATAATATTTTTGAGGAAGAGGTGGTGTTTGTCTGAATTCTCGTTCTACTTACTTATTGCAGGGTTGATGAAACGCAAGAATATTGCACTTCCAACTGATGCAAGACTGCTTTTGGGAAATCTTTGTACAACTACCTAGTAGAACACGCAGAAAATATGTTTTCATTATCATTCAAAAGTRCTTCATTCGCATTAAATCTTATCCTAAAAGACTTTTTTTCTTTACAATTTAAACTTTTATCAACAACCTTTTTTTATCGAATCAACCCCATGTCTTGAAATTTCGTTTGTTATCGAGACCCAGTTTATTTYTATTTTCTTGATTGCAAGGCATTGCTGTTCGACTGTTTAAGTTACGAACTCGAATATGTTCGGGTTGTATATTCGAGGGATTCTTACCTTTCTAAGCACACAACACAAGTCGCGTAGCGTCATTGGCAAACTAAACATAAACGAAAGGATCAAATAAATTATATTAGCTATAACAACGGTCATGGTTTTTTAGTCTAATGACGTCATGTGTGTTTGGCAAAGTGCATCATGGTATTGATGATATCATCAAGATGGCGGAATGCTTTATAAATCGATGGGGACGAAGCTCCCTTTCGAAATTACTATCAAAATCCTTCAAAATAGCATTGAGTGAGATGCCTACACACTAGTCTTTGTTAAAAGACCTTTCTGGGAAATAGCTTATGACTGCTGTTTGAAAAACAGTCTCAAACACCGGAAACACGAAGGGAAAAACAACAACACGCATGTCTCAGTTTGTAAATCCCATGATGCCATAACGTCATAGGGCCATAGGGCCATGAGAACCATAGTAAAATGAAAACTTCTTATAAGAAATACAAAAATCACTCATATATCAACCCTGTTTAAAACTATAATGAATAAAATGCTTATACCTGTTTGCTGATGATGTGATTTTGTTTACAAATTCTTGAGCAAGTCGAATTAAATTATTTTGATTTTCTTCTAAGTTTTCGTCTTTTGAAATTCTGAAAATAAAGAGATAGTTTGTTATAACAAGGTGCATTCACAGCCGAACGAAGCATGACAACATCACATTTAGTGATGCAGGTTTGATATGACAAGACCAWATACTGCGCAACCAGTATTCGTAAATAACGTTAATGCATTTTCAGCTATGTGTRCACTTTCTTACCTAGCAGGATCAACTTCATAGTTGACTTGTTCTTTGTACATTTTTACAATAAGAGRTCCTAGTAAGGAGTGCAGGTAATTGGTGCCGTAGCTTTTGAAGCAAAATGTGATAACTTTACTGGCAAGACTGTTACCGCGGAATAGAATCTGCATGGATTCTGCATTACGGACCTGCAAATGCCAAGAAGATAATATAAATAACTTTCTTCAGATCAGGGCACACTCCTAAAAAAGGCGGATAGCAGTAAATATATAAAATCCCGCAGATAGCTTTATTCTTCCTTCACACAACTGCACACAGAACGTTTCCAGTAAGTACAGTGCGTTACAGTGTAAGTGTCCTTTTTGATTAAATAACTGTAAGTACATAGAGTACAAACGCTAAAATAGAGTTCACACACGAAAAGCAAGACTTTTTCCAATGTCTAGTATGCAGAGTATTGCGCTATTTACCACTACTTGGTTACTACAGCGTCTTAGTGAAAAGAAAAAAAAATGAATTCAATTTAGCACCAACATGATTATAAACGTTTGCCATGATTTTTAGTGCTTGCATCTTGACATTACATAGAGATCAGATAACTTACTTCTGCATAAAATACATTCTTGAGTAAAAGAGATAACATGTGTTTGTCATCGAATAATGTGACGAGAACTTGAGCCAGCTCATCCTGATAAACAAAACAGAGTTGTAAAGAACTTTTAAAACCCGTACAAAGAAGAGGTGGATTTTGAGTGGGAATAGATGATAAAGGCTCTTCAAGCCTTCATAGACTTGTCAATCACTGCAGCTTGAGCAAGTAATGTTGACATCTTCTCGAAAGATCTTCTTCCAAACGTTTTATACTCTCTAACAAATAACTTCCATTTTTTAAAATTGTTCGAGAAAATTTGAAAGCAACGTGAAGCTTTTTGAGCTAAACAGGATGAAGCAGACAACTTAAGACATGGCATAAAGCACTGACAGCAACATAAACGCAAGCATAAGTCACATGAGTCACGTTTTATTTGTTTTCCCGTTGACCATTTTCGCAGTGACCAAAAACAAATGAAAACTTTAAATGCACTGCATGCTAAACTTGGAATTGAAGGAGAAGGAACAAACACCAATTGAATACAATTGACAATTCAATCCTAACCTTATCCCGGAAAATGGAAAAAAAATTCTAAGAAGTAGAGAGGCTTTCAATCACAGGGAACAAAAAAATTAAATCCAAACTATAGTTGAAGCCTTAGAAAGAGTTTTTTTTACTTACAAGTTGTTGTGATGGTACRACATTTGCCAGTGCCATAGCTATTGGTAATTGTCCTTTCTCAGTCGTCAATGTCACTAGCTGGACAAGTTTATCGAACCGATCCATCAAGACAGTGTCTGCAAGATTGTCAAACTCTGTACCCTGCAATATACCATAAAACAAAATAAGTTTTTTCACAATAACAATAACAGAAGCCATGCACAACAACCACAGCAAGAAGAAACTATCCCACCAATTCACTATCAACASAACATGTTGAAAATTTCTCTCCATTTTCTCGAAGAAAGGAAACAACTTAATGCTAACAACAACTGTCATGCATAACAATAATAACAACAACCGCATTAATACATAAACTGCCAATCAATACTAACTTTATTATCACAATAGCTTCAGTYTTCAGCCTTTGTCAATTGCTGACACGTACCTGCTGTAAGATCTTCGTCAATACTTCCATAAAAACAGCTCTTGTTTGGAGATCCTCGTGATAACCCAGTCCTTTAAAAACAGTTGATAAACTGATAGCGACTGTTGCACGGTGTTCATGGTATATTACAATTATAGCAATGTGACCTAATTATTTTACACTAACGATCGCAATATATAGGAAGGTACAAAATTAATGTACAAATTGCAACAATTTATAGACAATCATTAGTGCAAAAAATTATAAAACCATCAGAGATCTTTGCGACAGCTGGAATGATCAACTATAAGCAGGCAGAGCCTAGCAAAGCTCCTGACATTGTTTTTCTTACCGATAGCATACATGAGTCCAGTGTCAATGTTAGCGTTGAGTAAATTCGACATTGCAAGAATGGTGTTTTGATGAAGTGACTGAGAAGCAGAGAGACTGGTTTCTCGACCTTCTGCGTCGGCACTGTACTGTCCTTTGCAGTGACTCATAAGATTCATAAACAATGTGAAATACCTACAGATAAAAACAGCAAGTATCCATGGTAAGACGTAAAATACTTACAATGGGCGCGAAATAATCCTTACAATTTCGAAAGGCGTAGAGAATAAGAAGAAAACAATAAAAAAAAACAATAGCAAAAACAAAAACAACAAATAATCATTTTGCACGTTACACCATAAAGACGATGAATTATACATTCTGCAACAAAACAAAACGTGAATAGATCTCGCCTCAAAACGTTGCTGTACAACGCGCTGTTGTAGAAATGCAGCCGTTTGTTAAGAAACTGCGCTTGCCCTCACAGAGTACGCTAACTATGAGAATTCTAACACAGATCACTGTGACACTATGTTGCAATGCGTTGCGACAAGTAATTCCGGAAGCACGATATATACAAAAAAGAATAAAAAACAATATAGCAAACAAACAAGAGTTGTAAAAAAACGCAACCTTAGTCAAACAATACATTATTAATTCATTATTATTCATTGCATTTGTCTTACTTGAGGAAAAGCTGTGACTTGGCTTCCACGATGTCTGTCTCTATGTCTTCTGGTTGCAAGGGGAGACTAGCAAGTAGTGAGGCAATAGCTTTCATAACAGCAGCATCCAGTTCACTGCGAGTAGAAAAAAAGACCTTATTTATTCATTTTCCGATACGACCGACACTTGGAGTTCGAAGGTCACGGTCTAATTCAGCCTAGTCCACACCATCACAGGAAAAAAGGAAATGGAAGGAGGGAGATTCAATAAAATAAGCAAAAGTAGGTATGAACAATGGCATACATACTTTGACAGGACGGTTAGTTCCAGTGGTAAATGGTGTCGTTTATCATCAGATAATAAAACCCAGTCCGTCAAGTATTCCACTACTTTGTTTCGAAATTTCATTTCTTGGTGAAAGAGCAGTTCTTCTCTTCTCCTCATCACCTGAACGGTAAAAACATAGCTATTGGTTGAATATTCTAGTTTGGGGATTTTCTTTTGAAGAATTTGTTGTACTCACCATATCAACTAGAATACATATTTTGGTTTTTATCCGCAGTGACTGTACACTTAACGGTAAATTACGAACATATCTGCAATGAATTAACTTCAAATGAAATATTACTCATATAAAATATGCTATACAAAGGTAAGGAATAGTACATATCCTTCCTAATGTTACTTCCTTTCCTTCTTGCGAATCGTGGAACAAGTATCAAAAACACGCTTACGAAAACGTTGTTAATCCCTTTTTTTTCGCTCTACGCGACTTTCCTTCTCCCCAACCTTGATGCATTGTGGGCCGCCAGAAAAAAGCGAGAAGMGACTGGGTACGAGCCTGTCCTATCAGTAATTAAATCACTTGCAGGGAGATTAGCCGAGAGATTGGAAAATAATGCCACACGACTTGCAGTTTGAAGAGCGCACGCTGAACATTGAAATCCAGCTGAAGATTGGCTGTCTTAGTTACCTGACTAGGGTTAATATCATTGCCTCCACATTTCCTGGTTGGAAAGTTTCCATCTGTTCTTTATTGTCAAGGATGTGCTTCATAATAATGATCACCTAAAAATACAAATCGATCGGTGAACTAATAACAGTTTTTACATAATGTATCAATTGGGCTGATACATTTGGGTTGATACCAGAAATGCACAGGGGTTGGGCTGATAATTTGTACAAAGTCACTGCCCCTGACTTATCTGCAAATAAATAGGAGCAAGCTCAATGTGAAGCAGGCTCCTCGTGAACAAAATTCAGTATAATCAGAATCACTATATCGTAATAAAATTACCTGTTCAACAAACAGAGTATTAGTGTCTTGTACAACGACCTGTAAGGTAAGGACATAAAGGACTTTTCAGTATCAACAGTCCGGAAATCTAGTAGTTAAAATAAAAGCGTTTCGACGGCGGTGTTGATTCGGTTCAAACTCACAATACAAGTTACTCTAATCTATAAAACACAAGCATCTTAGCCGCACTGAATTCAGTACATGTCTGACTGTAGACTTGCTCCAAGCCTCTCTCTCCGTTCACTATCGAGCGACAGCAACATTTATTAAACGAACATAATTCCAAAGAGTTGCCGGTCCTTACCCATTTTTAGCTTCCAAGTTATTTGTTAGGGCCAGTACCTACTGTAATTTAATTTAGTCAGGATCACAATTGTAAACTTTTGTCAAAGGTACAAATAAAGATTTGTTGTTGTTGTTGTTGAATCGTCGGTGAGAAAGACCCTTATCTCATCTTCGGCAACTCTTCCAAAGTACATTCGCTTCGGGAAATTTCGTTGTCGCTCGAGAGAAAACAGCCAGAGAGACTTGAAACAAGTCTAGCCTGATAGTAAGATTCTTTGTTTGCAAGGGTCTGGATAGAGTTCTAGCAAGTGAACTGCTTCCAGTCTACTAAAGAGCTACATGGCAGATACATGTGGTACAAACCTGACCAGCAGTGCTAAAAAACGTCTTCAAAACATTCTTGATTTCTTCAAATAAAATGGGATACAACGTTGAGCTAAGTTGATATCCAATCAGCTCGTTGACAGTTTTTCGAATCTGAAGAAAATCACAGACTTTGTTRCAGTCTCCTCTGGAAAAAGCAAGTTCAACAAGTKCAACATCGACGACAAACCTTACCTGTACACCCAGTTTCTCATTACTGCAAACCAATAAACTAAGCAACTCTTTCAGAAATCTAGGAATATAAAGAGGAGAACAATATGTCGTGATAAGCCTTATAGAGATATTCTGTTAAACCTTGTGTTGCTCTAATGAAGCCAACAAAAGACACGGTGTCATTGTTAAGTTGGCTCATCTACATTTACAAGGTACGCCCTTTACCCATGAGATACCGTTTCAAAGAAATACACGCTACTAGCAAAACGATGTCGCGACCAGATGCTAGCTACATTGGTTGGCAAATCCCCCTTATCCGTTAATACTTTCTGCTTCTACGATGAAGTCACATATTGGCRAAGCCCTGGAAACATCATCTTCTTAAAGCGCCGTTTCTCATAAATTCACGCGAGAATTCATCGCACAATCAGAAAGACGCGCACTGCAGTACATAGATGTAATCTGTGCAGGAACAACAAATACTTCATAATAGTAAACGTAACGATGGTGCACCAAAAGTGAAGATGTGAAAACAAACCTTGCAACATTGGAATCCTTTTTAGTATTCCCTTCAGTATTGCTCTGGATGGCCAAAGGTAGAGCACGACTATAACGCCTAGAAAACAAAACAAAAAAAGCATAATCTTACAATGATAATATGATCAGGAACAATTAAAGCAACAACAACAACAAAGCAAAAAACAAGCATGACCTTACAACGATGATACGATCAGGAACAATTAAAACAACAGAAAAGTAAAAAAGCAAACAAGATGCGCATTCAAAATATTAATCCTATTTATCACAAAAAAGCAATAAAAACAAAACTGCATTAGAAAATTGGATAAAATATGTTTGATACCTTAGTGTTTGATAAGTCGTTAAACACACTACACCAAGGGAGCACAAGAAACCAGTCATGTACGTCCATTCATTCAATGAGCTCTGCGTATTACAAACACAAAACATAAGTCTTAGCTATGAAAATCCATGTATCGACAGGAAGAAATGCATTTAGGGGAAACAAGAGACAATACCTTTCCAGACAAGAACAACGACACCACCAACAACAATAGCAACACCATCGGCAACAACAACACCGACAGCAATAATCGACAACACAAGTCAACACCACAACTGAAAATTACTGTAAAACGAATTCCCTTTCCCGTAAACACTCACTATTGCGGACAATTTGTTGTGGTCCCGATGGTGTCCGTTATAACGAGAGCTGACTTAACATGTTGTAGCATAATGTGTGAAGAGTGTGTATAGCATACAGTATGCCACAAAAAATATCCAAAACCGACTATTTTGAACAACAACAAACCGCCCACTTAATGATCAACAGATATACATATAAGAGGCAGACATACAGGTACAATAAACAGGATGGGATCTTACTTCCATATCAGCTGAKGGTAGTGATCGTGGTAGGCTGGATCCAGCTCTCTTGCGTACAGAGTGMAGGTATTGAGCAGCCATTCCGCCAGCACTGTCGTCTTTACCATAGTTAACRAGACTATAAGTCATTTTTTGCCATCGTATGTACGTATTCTCCCATGCCTAAAACAATATGAAGCACTTATATATAGCTCTTTACTCGTCAAAATAACCAATACTTTGATTTCAATGTCTGCTTTTTTCTTGTCATTTAAGGTCCAAAATATTCCAATTGATGGAGTCGAACTGACTACAGACCTGTACATTCCCTGGTGTCTGTCGATCTAGTTGTCTTAATAAAGCCATGATCTTTTTCTGCAATGCTGCGCGACCTRAAACAACCAAACCACTGAATAARAAAGACAAACAGACCATAATGCTRGTAGTCTAAMAAATGCCTATAAATCGAGATAGGTAGAGCGACAATTCAAAAAATAGATGRTCGTAAAAATGAACGATAACTATGGTATGTTTTACGAAATTCGCTACAAAATTATTGACTGATTGGTTGATKGTTTGAAAGAGAGACCTGTACTCAGGTAGATATGCATGTGTTMTAGCAATAAATGGACTGATAGCCAACACCAATACACACTTGACTAACCAGCAGTGAATCGAGTAGCCTCAGCAGCAAGTTCACTCATGACAATGAGATTCGATGATGTTTGAAGTTCGGAGATGTTTTCGTTGCTTTGTAAGATATCAACCTCTTCACAAAGATGACCAAAACTCGACAAAGCAATCATTGCCGCATCGATATCGGAGCTCCATAAATACGTAAGAAAAACTTCCTGAAACATAAAGAGGACAACTTTTTAGGTTTGATTGCGGTTATTAAGCTAATATTAAATATGTAAGAGAGTATAAGTGCAGACACATAATTGAGTTTCTTCCGTACCTCTAGTTTATTGTGTGCTAACGAACATACTGGGATATGACATCCAGTGGATGCTTGTTCCTAAACGTAAAAATARCCCTTTGTTAAAGAATCACTCATAAAATTACCTGTTAATAAGAATTGACCTAACATGATACTATTTCCGAGTGTAAAAGCATATCCGACAGCCTAACAAGATCTTACCTTATGCTTACTTAAAAACTCGTTCTTGCAGCGAATAAGTTCTTTCAAAAACTTAAGTAACTGAGTACTCTTTGGAGAATGGTTAATGAGTACATCTGAGATTGCTACAAACACATTGGAACTATAAATAAACAAAAAAAAAAGGGTTTTGTAAAAATTAGCAAAAATTGGCCAGTTGTAGAGAAGAGCTGGTAATGACGACAACTAGTAGCGATGGTAAAGTCGACATCATCATCATCATCATCATCATCATCCTTCGGCCTCGGCCGAGAGTCCTCAAACAACAGATTTCCACACCGCTCTGTCAGCCATTACTGCCCTAAGATCTTGGACCCAGATTCCAGTGTCTCTGGCGAAATCCAGAAGTCGATATAGCTTGAAAAGTGCTTTTGCAGGTTCGTTCTATCTAGCTTATATAATCATTTTACAGATCAGGTTTAATACATATAAGATGTATACGATGACCACTCTGCAATCATTGAAGTTAAAGCCGTGAAAATCGAATTAAGAACCCGCGGCTAACCTAAGGAAGCTACATGAGCACAAACGAAGTCGTTGCAGACATCACCATTATATAATACCTTATTTCCCAGAATGTAGCTATCGATGCAACAGGATTCCACATATCAACATTGTCAGCTTGGAAGAAACAATGAAGCGTCTGATAAAGCAAACGGAAGACGTGAGAYAAAAGTATTAATTAACAATTGAAAATACGTGCGGTAAAATGAAGGAAACCGTTATAAATAAGTATTGTTTATTATCACACTTTTTGATCTGGTATACCATCCTAGTACGCATGCGTTATTTMCTGAAAGTACGGAGCGCTAGTAGCGGTTCCTTGGGTGAGAGCAAGTTACAATAGCCGAGTGACATCACGTATGCAGGAACGACGAAAGACTGACAGTGTACATTTTGCATCTTGCAGGGAATTTATAGTGTCATAGATCTTGATGAGACTWAATATGATCATGAACCCAGTCTCTACTCTGTTATGCAACCGCMTGCAGGCATACCTTAGCTGCCTCTTCGTTAATGTCTGACGTCACTGAAGTGCTAATGACAAGGTTTACTAGTCCCATGATGATTTGCGATGAACTTTTCTGAATATCCCAKCCGGGAGTGTTTGGATTCTGAAACAAGATAAATGAATTCAGATAAGATGATATACTACAAGTACACGATAATTCAAAGCGCTTTTTAGGTTAATTCACTAAGTTTCAGATCTCGCCACGCCCCATGATAGAGCATTGAACAAAACAGCTTACATGAAACGCGAATACTGGATCTGCATGGAACAGCCTAACTAAACAAAGTAAGAGTTCTTTGTCTCTCCGCCCTGCAGGCATGTCATCCTCTTTATGTTTACTCTTGTGGATATCTTTAACTTTATAGATCTACATGAMGAGAGAAATAGGAATCCATTTAGTACAAAACTACAAGTAGTATAACTACAGTGAAATGCCAAGCTATAAAGTGGTTTACCTGACTCAATCTAGACTGCTGTGCTTCTTGCTCTGCATTTTTTAACTTGTTCAAAACATGCTAAAAATCAAATCATCACRTAAGTATTAGACCATTGTTAAATAACTCACAAGGCAAAACGACTATCTGGATATGGATCATTGCGCTTATAAACGGCGTAGGTCCTGTCTCCTTAAACTCCTCTTTCTCCATCCTATAATTATGTAAGGGGCGGCAAAGAGCCAMTGAGGAACAACACCAATCCATGAGATGGCCACCCTGCCGGAACACTCTCTGCCCGTGGTATGAGTGATCTATGAGCATTAATGTTGTCAATGACTGACACCAAGACTAGTTGTACCCTCTCCACATTTTTCCGCAAATAATTGACTGACGAAGGTTATTTATCAAACGTTGACAAAAGTTAAAAAATTAGTAAACATGTTTCTTTTTCCAGTTGTTTTAGTAACCATATATATGTTGATCTTATTACTGGAAATACTTTATCAYGCCAACKTRAAATATTCTGATTTAGCGTGCCAAATGCCAGTGACAAAGGGAGAGATGAGGCCGGAGTTRGAAGGTAGAATGAAACGAGATTAAGAAATGTTGGATTTTATTTTCCAGCAAGAAATAAAGCAATAACATTTGTGACAATAACATCAACAACGAAGACAATAACAACAACAAAAACTCGCTGCATACCAAAAATATTCCTCGAATCTGTTGTGCTTTAGGATACAATACGTCTGCTTTGGCCCACCAWGCAAGAGGAGGCTAAAAATAWCATACAATAGAAAAWMATTTTAACCATTTGGTCTGTTAAAAACAGATGTTTGCRAAMRTTTTCAGTGGCGATTTTMAAAATYAACAWTTCATTGACCARAAAGYTWAARGWAAMATGTGRATTTCAWTAGATTCAAGGAGTTTTCYGGGAGTTTTATGGATTTTCCCCGTTTTCAAGWGGGCTTTTCAATTCCAGGTCTTTTCAASGATTTCAAGGAGTAGCGCGAACCCTGWATCAATGGAAGTGAAACACAGGTGACAATAGGCTTATAATAATGTTGGATAAATTATAGTGTGTGTTGACAGCATAGGCAAGCTGTTTGCTGACCCTTATGATATATTTAACTTATGATGGCTACTGTGAGGGCAATTAGTCTAGACAGAATATATGGATAACAATGACCATAAAACAACAACAACAACAGCCACAACAACAGCCACAACAACAACAACAACAAATCAAAACTGACTAAACAAAATAAAACATGAAACCCAAAACTTAGGATTCATTTTGATTTTTTAGGAAAAGAAAAAAAGATACATGCATAATTGTGGGAAAATACAGTCTGCATTCTTTGTGGGGGTTCTAGGGGAGGGGTCAAATGGAAACAGAGAGGGGATGACATAGTTAAAGCAAACTGTACTTGCTTACCTCAGTAACTATCAAGAAAACACTTTTAATGTAGACAAAGTTAAAGATRACAGGTGAGGTTGTAGCAAGACATGCATCAAAAGTCTGACTGTTCCTGTAATTATTTCGAAAACTTGATACAAAACAATCAATCATCAGGTCTTCAGTGGAAGTCAAAGAGCCAGATGCAAGACAGAAGGGTCGGTTCATATTAAACAACAGAGCCTGAAACAGAAATGGGACAASCTTATAGTGAGAATACACCAAGTTTAGCCTGCATAGCACCTCTAGGGGAAGGGGGTGGGGTTGGAAACAGAAGGGGTCAGAAGTCAGAGGTGTGGAGGGGGGAGGGCTGCTACACAGGCTACTACAAGTCAGACCACTTAGACTAGATTTGATAAGCAAATAGGCAATTAATAATATTTGTTATATAGCTTTCAGTTCAGGATGATAATAAGCACACAATAACTGAGTATCAGCATTGCTGTGAGTGTCGTAATAATGTCCATCTATGTCTGGTTCCATTGCCTAGGTTGAGTATCTTACCAAGATCCATGTAAGATCCTAACATGATCTTACCAAAGGCTTTCCCAACAAATAATGTTGCCAAGGCAACATGATCTTCCAAGATCCATGATCTTCCAAGACCCTCCATGACCTTCCAAGATCATGCAAGATCTTAATAAAATATGCAACCTGGGTGTCTCTTGATTGGCTTCTTTTAGCTACCGGTAAGCTACTGGTTCTAGTCTGGTAGGAGATATTGCCAATTTAATAAAACTATCTCTCTGCAAATGTATGTCCCTTTAGAGCAAATTTTACAGGCTGTGCAGATCATGTCGTGACTACTTCATATACTCTAGAGCATCATCAAATGCATGTTTACCTTTAGTTCATTTAAAATTGTTAATACAAGAAAGCAAAGAACAGARTTGTCCTCAGGTTTCATGTAACTTGCTGCTTTGCATAATTTAACAGAGGAGACGGCAGCACTCTCACTAAGTGTCTTGGTACTTGACAAGGCCTTCTTCAAATTGTCCAGAAACTCTTTCTGATGAAAAGCCACAATATACATGTATGAATAATATGAAGACAAAAATAGAACAAAAGTGAGAAAGAGCACAGTCACAACAGTTGTAGAGGAATTGATAAGGTCGAATAGACGAAACTAGTTTTCCTCAAACATTGTGTTTTCTGTGTGTCAAAGGAGGGGTAAAAGTTGAAATTATTTTGACGTCCTACAATATGAAGCACACTTTCACTGTCAATGAAGTCACTGTCTTTAGGAAATGAAAGGATGAATGAGCAAACTATTGAGAACCAATTTATGAAATTTGATGCAGAAGTTGATAATAGAAAACCAAACATATAAACAATTGTGGATTCACATTTAAATGATTGCAACTGACAAATTGAATGCTGCACTGAAATAAGCAGCAAATAGTATGGACAATCTGCAAATGACCATGTGGATGGATTGGTGGAGAACATAAAGTACCTTGTTAGATTTTTGGCTGTCCTTTAATCCATTATTGGTTGTTATTTGTTGTAACAGTGTCTAGAATAAGACATTTTGACATTTACAATGTTATGTCAGGTTCACAATCATGCAAGCCATGTACAAAAATGTTATATCTTGAAATCTCATGAAATATGAGGTAAAAGAACTTACTGGGCATAATATAAGCAACATAATTTGTAATGGCCAAACTGCTGCTTTCCGTCTCCAGCTCTCCTGAGCAAAGTTATCAACTAAATCAAATAATCTTTCTGCATAATCTGTAAAGTAAAACATAATAATAACTTACATTTTAAGGATGTCTTTTCTGGTTACCCAGCATTAATTTGATTCTATCATGATAATGTCAAATTTGATTTTCAGACATGCCTGCCTGAGAGAATTAGAGTTGGGCTGATCTGGGCTATCTATATTCATATTAAATTACATGACTGTACATGAAACTGGCCAGCTGTATCTGGCAAGTATATAAAGCAACTTAGTTTAGTTCAGAGGCGCATACATGTACATACCTGAGAGATCTTTACACGGCTGTCTCTGAAGCTCAGCAAACTCTGATGGACTATTCTCTACCCAATTCCAGATTGCCTGGAAAGAAGGATAAGAAAGAAATACTGACAGTTTTTTATCCTATCTGTGCAGCTGAAACATTGGTATGACATGTTACCATCATTAATGCAATACAGCAGTCAATTTTTGGCTGAGACTTCACTGACACCAATCAACAATCATGGTATCATTATGACATAGAGTTAATATGATGATCTACCTTATCAAGTCCTGCTACAAAAGCAAGTTGACCAGGTTTCTTAAGATTCTTAAACACTTTGATTCCCTCTGTTAAAAATCAAGATTTCATTGTTAACATTAAAATTTAGGTGTTGTTTTGCCACTGTTGTTGTTGCTTCTGTTGTATCTACAGGAAGTATTAAATTTATACTAATTTCTGCAGCTGATTAATATTGCTGTTGACTATGGTGTTTTCACATACTGTATGACTGTAATTAATGCCAGTTCGCTGCTGTCACTGACTGTTGTTGCAGTTGCACTACTTAACATTGTTGTTRTTGCCATTGATGTTGAGAAACTGACAATGCATGCAAGTACTGGCGATGATAATAGCATCCCATTACAAGAAGGTCTAAGTACAGTATGCTAATGTTTTGTATTATAAAACGTACTGCCATGAATATACCTTGAAGAAGAATTTTCAGTGATGATTTATTGACATTCAAATGTTGGATCAACTCAAGATCACCAACATCAGAATTGTCATCAGAGCTAGCCAACAAATGAAGTCTATAGAAAATGTAAAAATCACACAACTATTATTAACGAACACCCCACTGCCAGCACCCCTTCCTATCCTCATCAGTTCTAGTCCTATAATTGGCGATCYYTGACATGTTCAGATGTTTTCAAAATACTCCAGGTATGTGCATGAAAGCGAGGTATTTTTGACCAATGATTTATTTTTCATTGAAAATATCTACTTTCTGACTGAGTGGGAGGGCCGTACAGGAAAATATTTGGCTCGAGGTTATTCCATACGGAATGAGCACAGCGAGGTCCGTACAAATGACTGAGGGCCAAATATTTTCCTGTACGCCCCGACCTAACTCAGTCAATACGAATTTTATCATATGACAGCGTTTTTTAATGTAAAAAAATAAATAAAAGCGCACGGAACTTCAAGCTGGGAAATACGGGTTTGTACGGCCCCGTCACAAAAAGGCGTATGGCCCTCATCACATGACCATTTCCTAAAGGTTTTTTAAGAGCGTGCGTAGGGCCGAAATACAGGTCATATGATAATACCTAATTTCCAAGCACTACACCTGCAATATTCTTTAAAGCACACAATAGCTTTTCAAAAACACCTGTGCATATTGGCCAGTAGTTTTAGTTTTAAAGGAGCTGTCACAGACATTATTCACAACTAACCTTATTGCAATACGATTAAACAAGACAGAAAAGTGGTAATTACTAATATGAGACAATATCTTGGCAGCTTGTTCTCTTTGTTCTATTTCAAAAGGTATCCCAATGCTGSTTTGAGTAATGAACTAGAAAAAAATATCAATGGCTTAATAATGTAGGGATTAAGAMAGTACATTAATCATAGCTGAATAAATAATATTATTATAAAAATAATTAGTAAATTTAAAAAGTTTAGGTTGAAGCAACGTTTTTTAAAAAATCATTATGAATAGACCAACCTACCATCATCTACAGTATTTGATCTAATATTTATATATTAATAGTGTAATAATAGGCACCTGACAAACACTTGGTAAAAGGACTTTTAGCAGGACATCATCTGGCAGAGCGGCACATTGCTGAGGGTTCTATTGAAAAAAAATATCAAGAAAGTACATTTTAATGTGAGCAGTTAATAATAAAAACTYTTTTTCCAATTCTAACTTTAAGTCCATTTTCTACTATTTTATTATATGATTACATTAAAATTGTTTTGTTTACGCTTACGTTTTTTAATGACTCTTACCTTCTCAAAACATTTRACCAATGTTTTCATAATAACAACATTAGACTCAGCTGCTAGCTGTATTCTATCTGAGTTCATTGCCATCTAGATGTGAAGAAATTTAACAATGAAAACATAATCATAATGATTTTTTTCATGCAGGAAGAGGGAAGTGAAATTGTATTTTATTTTCCAAGTAAATGAAAAGAGAGGAAGAGAGAACTCAAACATAAACATGAGGGGAGAATAAATTTGCATGTATTATATCTATTATGACATGTCTAAATAATATCATAATTAATAATAAGCATAGTTGAAAGCTAAACATTTGAATTCAATTTATTCTTTTTGGGCAATTTCCAAGACTGTAGAAGAAGAAAAATGCCCAGTAAGAAAAATTTATTGACAAAGATGTTTTGACGTTGAAAATTAGCGCCCACCAGCACACTCAATTTAGAGGATATTTTTTACAGCTTTGTGCTTAGAAGAACTATTGATGTATTTGAATATGACCTGGAATATGCACACACAAAAATACAATACCATTCAATGCAATTTTAGGCAAATACAGTGTAGTGTGGGATAGCACCCTTTGTAATCATACTGCTATATCAGATAAATGCAATTTTAGGCAAATACAGTGTAGTGTGGGATAGCACCCTTTGTACTCATACTGTATCAGATAATGACCATATGATTTTTATGATTTGATCAAGACATTCCCTGAGCATTTTACTCACAAGGAATTGTGGTTCTTTGACCATCCTAGCCAATCCAGAAACAACYATAATGAACTTATGGTCACTGATATTAACTAGACATCCACTGATCTGCTCTTGGCTGTCATTTCCTTTTTTACCCAAGGATCCTTCTAAGGGCAACTGAAAAATGACACAGTACAAGGAAATGTCAGTTATTTTAACACTACATATGAAACTTGCATTTTATTAATTACATTCAATAGTTGACTGGAAATATCAAATAGTGAAACTTTAGCTGAAGCTATTACAAAGTGAATTAGCACATTTAAAATCTGCAATCAAATGCACACTAAAAAAATACATTATATATTGTTTAAAACATAATATAAGTTCAGAAGACTAATTAAGATCTCCTAAATTTGTACAGAAAACAAACAATTTTCAACAGTAGAAAAGTTATTGAATTCATACTGCAAATTGTTTTTTAATGTCTGAATTTTCTGTAATTAAAARTTGACCTTTCGGTGAGAATCTGCTATGGATTGCTCTTTTGCTGCTTGCATTCTATAAGCTGAYTATAATCCAGCCCAATGAATGTATTATTTAAGTTAAACGTGAAATGATTATTTTTGTTATTAATTCAGCTTTAGCTTAAATATTTTATTAATAAACTTGTACATTGAGACACACTCATGAGAGCTTCAAAGAACATTCACATCAGTTTATTATTCATAGCAAAGATATTTTGATTGYTTGACATTGATAAGCAAGAGAATAAGCTTATCATATTCAATTAACTTTAACTTTAATAAACCACGAACTAACCGAGTTCATTCCAATATATCATTTAACATTCACACAGTGATCCTGTCAACTTTCGGCGATTTAAGCTCCAAAACTGAAATTTAATTTAGGGCATATAAACTTTCATCGAAGAAAAATTGCTATATTTGAAAAATATAATATCCACGCCAAGCGTACATTTTTTCTCAAGCACTGTGAACTCATTGACAAAATGAGCATCGAAGAAATGCTCATCTAACTTCGGCTGTTTAGATTTTGCCGTGCTGAACAAAACGCCCTCAGTTTCATTAAAAATTTAAATAAAACACATATTAAGGAGTTGTTATGACTTTTTATCTGACGGCAATCTTGAATTTGCATGTAGTAAAGAAAACACGATTCCAGCAGAGCTGGTTTGTAGAAGAGAATTCAGTGAGTGGCGCGACGAGCATTAACTTATCTGTTTACCTGTTGTTGAAAGCGCCTTAGAACCAGGACAACCCACTCTTCTGGTTTGGTATCTCGTGGCATGRTTATTGTCTACATTTCTAGCGTTAATTTATACTAATAACATTATGATTTAGGCTTGGTAATACCTAAAGTGCGAAAGAACTTCGACGCTACCATCTTTGTCACACATCGGAAGTGAAGATGGAGGAATTTGCATAATAAATATGTGGCTGACCTTATTTGGATAAAACAGTCACACCCCCGGTAAAAACAGCACTACAGTGCTAATAAAGTATTTATTGATTTATAATTAATTTATACACAGTTTGCAATGATATTCAGAGAATTTAAGACACCAGAGTAAAAATATACATCAGAAACAAATTCACTTATCACCATCACCATCATAAGCACCATGCTCAAGTTTGAATGTGCTAAATTGCTCTGTGAATTACTTTGTTTTCTATTTTCTAATCTATACAATATTATACATATTACAAAATTTGCATTATTTGTTTTTTTGTATTTTTCATGATTTTAGTGTTTGCCGTATCTATACATCTATTTGTGTAATCATGAGTAATTTTAAAATGAATTGACAGAGTGGAATAGAGAGCCTAAGAAGGGAGAGGAGAGAAAGAAAGTTTGAAGCCCCTTCCCCTACAGCTGCTCCTATAGACCATTTCAGCTAAAATACAAAATCATGGTGCATTGTGGTCTAGCTTCGGCACAAACAACGCCATATTTAGCAACATGAACAAAAGATGTTTGTACCAAATCAAGACCACAATGCAATGCAAACTGCTTTCTCAGAAAAGGCCTATTTCCAATGCGCGTATGTTGGATCACACCACATATAGGTGATTTAACCATGTCATTTAGCTATTTGGTGTTTGGTGTTTGGTGTTTGGCATGAATTTGAGTGGATTTCATATCACTGTTCAAAATGCATTGCATGCCAGTGATGTAATAATTCTTGAATTCTTGCATCATCCAAATATAAATTTCAAAAACTTAATGCTAGCAATGGGTGTGGTGTAATGATGTTTTAAATTCAACAATTTATTTGACAAGTCTTAGTAATCAATCATAATTCATACATTGCATTCTTGGCATAATAAATAGTTTGGTAAAAAGTTATGACACATATTAGAAGATGCAATTAAGTCAAAGAGAAGAATAATTTTTTATCACTTGTTCCAGACAAGCAAAGCTGTCAACAAACTCATCTTCTGAAATCCCAAACTTTAAATACTGATGAACATAGGCCCTTGAAGCAAACATATTCCAAGCTTTTTCTACCACAGAATTTAATGATCGCACAGGAGTTTGACTGTTGCTAAGTAAAGTCAATGACTTCTCGTAATTGTTAAAAGGTTTTGGATGACAGTACATTGTAATACAAGAGTCTGGTGGATTCCAATCAACATAAAGGTTTGGATTCTTAAAGGAAGATGGATCAGCCAAGTGGACATCTTTGCCTCTCATTACCACCATATTTGCAATGGACTTGTTGAAAGTTTCTTTTAGATGTTGATTGGTTTTTGCAGTGTGTTCTTTAGGCTGACCATCTCTTTCTAATCCCAAGGGAGTAGGTAGTCTTACTTCCCAATCAATGCCTGGAAGATCATTTATTGATTAGTGGAAGGAAGTGAAATAATATTTTCAGTTGCTACTTAACCATCTAATATTGGAAAAAGGAGAATAATCAATCTTACATGACTGCATGGTGTCATATATTTATCAAGACCACATTCCTTTGACTATTTACTTTCACAGATGCAATTAGTTTGAATAGTTTTACTATAATTCCAAAAAAGCTAATAAATTAAAATGAAAAATAAATAAATTTAGAATCTGAATAAGAATGAAAATACATGAAGTATTTTGTAATTGGTAGTACAGTAATGCCAAGTGCAGACACTCTATTCAGCCAGGTTTCYGAGGTGTTTTTAGGGTATTACTTAAGATATTTTCAGTTTTTAATCATTCCATGCTTGGCCATTATTTCCAACCTTGGGGAAGGAATGCAAACACCCAAGAATTGTTTCAAATTGTCATATAAGGGGAAGTGTCTGCATAAACTGTGTTTGAGGATTACAAGGCATTAGGTTAATGCGAAGATATCAGCTTTTGTTGTACCAGGATAAAAGAGTATTAAACTTATTATTCATTACCTTCTTCCATAGAAGCATCTGCTATCAACATTTGCCTCAAGTGCTTCAATAATCCTGGCCAACTATAACAACTATACTCCAAAGATGCTTCAGCCATTTGAGGGATATTTCTTAAGCTTAAAAGTTTATACTCTGGATGTGGGCATAAATGCTCAATAATTTCTCCCAGTAAACTAGGTGCAAACATTGCTTTCTTGAGAGACTGTTCACCTTGTTCTGCATTGAACAACTTTACAGGCTGTAAAACACTTCCTAATTTGTGTGATATYAGCTTATTAATATCCCCAAATGAAATATGCTTAATGTTCATCAGTCTTGAGCAAATTCTTTGAAGTTTATCATTCTCTACTATAACAATTGCATCTGATGACTTATAAAGCTGTGAGAGAGTTAATAAAGCATTATAGTTCTGCACTATCACCTCTCCCATTCCAAATGGCCACACCACATGGTTTAGAATAAAGGAATGAGGATAAAAGTCTCTCAAAGAGTTTGTGACATAAGCTCCTACCCCTGARCCAGTTCCCCCAGCTAGGCTCATTAATGCCAGGAAACCATCTAATCTATCACACTTTTCAACTTCTTTTTGTACCATCTCTAATATGATTTCTATAGATTTTGGACCGTGCTCACAAAAGCCATGAGCCCAATTATTTCCTGAGCCACGTTTTTGACTGAACTGCTGTCCTTTTGGGTAACTCCAYTTGCCTGTTTTGCGWGCTTCAGCCATTGTTTGACTGATAACTTTTGACTCCATATCAATGGAGACAGCTCTGGCATTCARTWTGCCATCTTCAWGACGTGTAAAAAATCTGCCAGTACTTTCCTCTTCGTATTCATTGCAGCATTTTTTGTCGAGTCCTTTTGACAAGTAACGCGAGAGATTGAGTTGTGTTGCATCTTGCTCTAAAAGATTAAACAGTTCGCTTCCAATTTGATTCCCGCACTGCCCAAGCTGCAATGTTACAACAGACATTTATAGCACGGATATCAGCTATCACGCACGCTTAAAAAGTTAAAACATATACGTTAAAACATTTGCTTGATCTCAGAGTCATCATTCAAAAACATCCAGGCGTTACATGCGTATTTTACCCAGAATCCCCAGCAAATTACACATGGAGCCTAACCCAGAATTTATATAGTTTGTGCATAGGCTACCCAACTATTGCTTGAGAGAAAGAGAACAATGAATGCGCACGCTTATATTATTATCTTATCGAATCGGCGCGCGCTTGGGTTTCCTGTGGTATATTACGTCATAATCCCGCGCCTCGCGGGATACAAACTAGTCTGTGACAAGGTATGAAACTCTGGTCACGTGATGGATCGATGTGTGCCCCAGGTTGCTGGGCAGACATCGGAAGCCGAGCAGGCGAGAAATAGTCGAATAGTCTCCGAATGTAAGGCGAAGTATCCCGATTAGCTTTCTAGCTGTTTTTGGTTTACTTAGTTTTAAACTTCAAACTGAAAAAGGGGGGAAACTACTAAATGAAAAAAATATGCTTTTAAATAGACAAGTCAAGGAAATAAATGGAGGCTTGTATTCACATTTTATTGATATACACACGGTACAGCGTGGAAATTTCATTGACAAAAAAAGGTCTCTCAAATTCAAGTTCAAACATACAGTTATTATGTAAACAAATAACAAAGGAAATATAAAGACAAACAAATTGGTAAAAAGCTCTTTCTGTGTTTTTTGTGTTTGTTTGTTTGTTTGTTGTTGTTTTTTTACAGGAATCCASTGGTAAAATACACTCCCGCGTTATTTTGGATGCCGTCTGAAAAACTAAAAATACATCAAAAAGTACTATTTTTCGTATTCAGAGCTAAATTCCTATGAATACTGAACAACTGAAATGACTTGAAAAGTTGAAAGTGCCATAAATTGGCTAGACGTTCTAGGAAATAGTAAACACTCATATCTTTTTTTTCTCTCAGTTTTTTTCGCTTTTATACAACTTACGGCTGAGTTTGGCGGCTAAAAAATGTCATTGAAAAGGTGGTTTGTCTTCTTCATTCAGCAMAGAAGCATCCATGAACCAGAATTAAAAAGTTTGAGGCTATCTTTTGTGAATTTCGAGCTGTTACGGCCAAATTATCTTCCATTTTCTTGTCCTTGTGATCCTTTGGTCGGATTCATGAAGAAATGTGGTGAACTCGGCGATTACGAAAATACTCCGTGAAAATGTCGATGGTTCACGATAGTTCTCGACAAGCTCACGAGTTAGAAAGTCCGAATGCTTTCCGATGTCTGCCCAGCAACCTGGGGCACACATCGGTCCACGGCGAGTGAAWTGCTTAATGYTCATTTTCTCGTCACGTAATGTACATTTCACACTGAAAATCATGAGGTAGGTAGGAAACCTGACGATGTGTTGTTATTTGAAAGAAAATCGTCGATTTCTGTTGTTTTTCGGTGAAAGAGGAGCAAAATTATATTTGTCACGTGACCAGTGTTTCATACCTTGTCACAGACTAGTTTGTATCCCGCGAGGCGCGGGATCGTGACGTAAGGTAACCCGCAGCGCGCGCCGATTCGATAACATACCCGCGAGCACTATACCCGCGAGGAAAGGGATCAATGACGTAATACCACAGGAAACCCGCAGCGTGATGCAATTCGATAACATAATATAGAAGCGTGCGCATTCGTTCTTTTCTTTCTCTCAAGCAATAGTTGGGTAGCCTATG